GAGTTTTTTATGACATATATGCCATTATAGCATCCCTTAGCAGAACGAAAAACAATCTGAGTCGCGAGGAGTTGAATATCATAAAACGATGACAGCCTAGTTAATATAATTCATTAATCTTTTTCTTTTTATGTGCCGTGTCCTTTCAGGACGTATGCAATCATGGCTCTCCACTTCCCCCTACCCCTTGTAGCTCTCAATAAGCTTCGTGCCTCTGCCGCCTCCCTCAGACCACATTCTGTCATCCACTTGCTTAAGCCCACCAGGTATGTCATGCGTTGCTTTCTCTTGCCTCTCTTTCCCTCTATTCGACCTGTGTGTATCAAATACTCTAGGCCTTCCTTTCTCATTACGTGTCACTGAAACTTCATCTGCCTATTCCTGATGTTAAGTATAAGCCTCTTCCTTGTTTGCATCCTCTCCAAGACCACATCGTTGCTCACACGCTCGGTCCATAATATCCTCAGCCTCCTTCTCTAGAACCACATCGCCTTGAGTCTTTTCTTCATCTTTGAGCAGACCATCTAACATTCGCTGCCGTAAAGGAAAACAGATGTCACATAACAGTTCTGTACTCTTCTTTCTTTCCAAAGAGGTCCTCCTGTCTCACAATACTCTGTCCAGCTTTTGGAATGCGTCCTTGGTCATCTAAATACGTCTACGGATCTCAGTGTCGCACTTGCCGTCAAGACACTTCCTAGATATTTAAACTTTCGCACTTGTCCCCGACTTACAAATCGCATTTCGGGTTCATCCTTTTACTGATGACCATGCATTCTATCTTCTTGTAGTTTATGCTTAGTCCTTTCTTCTCGTTCTCCTTCGTTCCCTTCTGTGGGAGGTTTTGTAATTTCCTTTCCGTGTCTGCTATCAGCACGGTGTCTTTTGCGTGTCTAACGTTGTTAAGATTGTGGCCGCCAATGCTATCTCGGTAGGATTTCGAATTCTCTCAGAATTGTCAAGTGATGCTTTATTATTTACACTATTTACATTGTTCGGACTATTGTAATCATCTTTATTGGTATATTCATGACGTTTCGGCCATTGAACGTACCGGCCTTCTTCAGGTGATATACGTTGAAATTTCGAACCGAACCCCTTATTTCGTCCGGTAAATTGTTCTGGTTTCATGCCTTTTTTGGATATCTTAATTTCATTTATTTCCTTTTAGTGACTAAACTCTCCATCATGTATCCCAAACCAAAATCTGTGATAACAGGTTAATGGCAATCTCATCACATCTGTGATAAAGCGTCAATGACAATCTCATCACATCTGTGATAAAGGGACAAATGAAAATCTCATGAGTTGAGAGCCTAATATAATATCCATTAATACTTTCGCCATAATAGATCCAGTTGAGATACCTCTGTATGAGTGTGTGTGTGTCTTGAGGGTTACCTTTCTATTTCCACAATTAATTAATACGTAATAAACCCCACTTTTTAGGGATGTGTTGCTGATTCCAGACTTGTGATTTAATTCAGGGAGAAACTAAATTGTTCAGCCTCATTGTCAAGTGATGCTTTATTATTTACACTATTTACATTGTTCAGACTATTGTACTCATCTTTATTGTCATATTCATGACGTTTCGGCCGTTGTAAGCTCCGGCCTTCTTCAGATGATATACGTTGAAATTTCGAACCGGAACTTTTATTTCGTCCAGAGGCGTAAATTGTTCTAGTTCATGCCTTTTCTGGATATCTTAGTTTCAGTTATTTCCTTTTAATAGCTAAACTCTCCAAGTTTTTGTTCCCCTCTGCTGTGTCAATGAATTGAACTCACAACTCTTTGAGTCAAGTCACTGGATCACTTCGAACAACGCTTTTATCCACTGAGCCATGTGTCCTTGTGAATATGACAATAAAGTTGAAGACAATAATCCAAATAATGTAAATAGCGTAAATAGTTACAATACCTCATCTCAAAAATTTAGACAGATCTTGATGCTTTATTATTCGTTAGTTTTATACTAGCTTTCTTAATTTCCTCATCACTAGGTTCGTTATTGTATATGTTTAGAGACGGACTTTGTGGTTTAGTTCGCAACAGAATAAAAATGACCATCTATTTTTTGTTTTTATTTTTTTGTTTGTTTATTTCCTTTAACCAATTCAACACGTGTAATTTCTCATTAGTCAACAGTTAGTCAAGGAACACATTCTAATCTGGTTGATTTTCCTCACCTATTCTCAACATCAACACTGAACCTTAAGACCCATTTCAATTATTCTAGTACCCTAAACTTATTTGATTACACACAAGCCCGTCTAATAGTTCTCTAAAACCAACAGATAGAGGACTAATGTAAATCTCATAACTTTTCTACACAAACGGACGTATGATAAGGGCATCTCTACTATCTTATTAACCAATTGTTTAATCATTTCAACCCAAACAAGGCAATAATGCCACTAAAATGCTAGTAGTTAGTGAATATGAAATTAGAATAATTTAGTAAGGAGTAAAGACAATAAAAGAATATTACCCAGGAATATAGAAGGTGGTGATTTGTTTTGTATTTTTAGTACAAATTACACATAAACATATATTTTATGACTTTTTGTAGTCTATAATGTTTACTCATTGGTGAAGATTGTATATACCATGTATGGAGCCATTTGCATCTTAGAAAAAATTATTTCCAAGAAGATGAATTTGGCAGAAAGGCTCAAAAGGTTTACCTGACTTCAGTCTCAGCAAAATCTTGAGCACTATCATGAAGGAGGTATTTAAAATATGTGCTGGATTTAACCAAAAAATCCTAGGTTACAACACAAACCTAATCGAACTATCCTGTGTGTATACATATGGCTAGGGACCGCTTGTGAATCCAAAATTCCCACTGAAACTCCTACTATTAGCACGCCCTTGTTTAAATATTCTTTCTTTCTCTCCTTGAGGAAACTACAATGTACCGACTATCACATTAACCAAATATTTTTTAATCATTTCACCCCAAGTAAGGTGATAAAGCCACTAAGACGCAAGGGGGGTGCTTGAATGTGAAAGAATCTTAGAAAAAACATTATTAAAGAGAGAGGTCAATAAAAGAATAGGAATTAAGAAGACATGAGATAACGATTGATATTGCATTTAAATTTTTGAAGATCACACGTGACTAGGAAACAAGAAGATGGAAGAGAGTTCCACAACGGAAAAGTGCGAGAGAAGACACTATTAGCATAGATCTTATGGTTACCTCTAGCAATTCCAAAGAGGAAAGCTAATCAGAACAATTACCATGAAAATACCATGTCTCAACATATGTATGTTAACTCTAGATTCCCAGCCTCTGGAGATTCCCAGACATAGCGTCATCACACTAAGTGTTGCTGAAATTACGTGGTCATAGATAATAAAAAAAGCCTGTCGTGATGCCAAAAAGTTTTATCTTTTTATTATTCTTGAAAGAGAGAGACAAAAATTAATTTTTTTATCTTTGTTTTAATTATGAGCTGCCAAAAATTAATTTTCGGTCTTCCCAACTTTTTGCCAAAAGCTATCTTAATCGAGAGAAATAGAAACTAGATGAGATTATCCAAAATAAAATAATAAGCAAAGCCTCCGCCCCCACAAAATATGTAAAAATTTTATGAAATCGGATTTTTGAATTTCTGCTTCGCAATAAGAAGGGCATAAATCACTTCCTTTTTTTTTTGTCACCGAACAAAAGACAAAACAAAAATCTCTCTAATATGTAAAACGAACAGTAAACAATACGTAATACAGGCATTAAAATATTAATGAGTAATACTAATATTAATGTAATAAGTAATACAACATTAATGCGTAGTACTGCTATTAAATAATGAGTAATTGTTATTAATAATAGTGTTAATAAAGTAATAATGAGTAATACGTTTATTAAAGTAATGAGTAATACTATTTTAAAGTAATACTGAGTAATACTAATGTAAAATACTGAGTAATACTGTTGGTAAAGTAATACTGAGTAATAATGAGTAATACGGATTAATAATACTATTAAAATAATACTGACCAATAATGAGTGATATTGCTATTAAAGTAATACCGCTATATGAGTAATAATGAGTAATACTACTATTAAAATAATACTGAGTAATAATGCTATTAAATAATACTGAGTAGTAATGCGTAATACTATTATTAAAGTCATACTGAGTAATACTACTGTTAAAGTAATAATGAGCAATACTCTTATTAAAGTAATAATAAGTAATACTACTATTAAATTGATACTGAGTAATATTACTTTTAAAGTAATACTGATTAATATAGTTATTAAAGTAATCCTGCGTAATACTGTTATTAAAGTAATACTGAGTAATACAGTTATTAAAGTAATACTGAGTAGTAATGCATAGTACTGTTATTAAAAATACTAATCAATACTGATATTAAAGTAATACTGGGTTGTACGGTTATAAAGTGTTATCTTTCACGCAATATTTTACACAAAGAACATTTATTATTGTATGCTTATCGATTTTTTAAAATATCTAGTTAAAGAAATATCGGATACCTTTTAAAAACATAAAAAAAAAATAAAATCAAAACCCATATCAAAATTTGAATCTTAAAATTAATCATAATAAATGATTTACTTTAAAATAATAGATTTAGTTAAAATTGATTCAATCGTAATAAATAATTGAACGAAAATCAATATCATTTAATCGCTTAAACAGGGTGAGAAATACTTTCTTTTCTTTTGATAAGATGGTATTTATATTTTTGACTAAAATTTCAAAATTTGTACAAATTATTTTTTGCTCGTAACCTATATTTCAGTCAATTTGAATCTGGTATTATATTCGAATATTGATTGAAAGTCATACGGCAGAACAATCTGAATATTTTAATAGATGTGTAAATTAAATTACAGTGATTTTTTTAAGAGCTAAAATAATACGAATATATTTTTCTCAATAGGATTTAAAACGACTTTTACAAAATCCTTCAAAGAACAATTGATTACGTTTAAGTATATTTAACCTTGAAATTGTCAAGCTTTACGACTTACCTGTGATTTCTGTCGTTGTCGGGTTGGTTGTAGTCGTAGTAAGTGCTGGTGTAGTATGTGTGGGATCGACAGGGCTAGAAAAGGCAACAGGTGCAAATGTGACAGTGCCGCTTGTAGATTGTGCAGTGATAATGGTGCTACTGGAAGTAAGTGGTGTGTTGCCTGGAAGTCTTTTGATAGCAGTGGAAGTGATAGGCATTGGTGTCTGTGATGGTGTTATGGTAGTGATTGATTTTGCTATTGTTTTTTGTGTGGGTGATGCCGCTGTAGTGGAAGAACTTGTCGGAGAAAATGTTGATATTTGCGTCGTTAATGGCCGTGTTGTGAGAATAGTGCTAGTTTTGGGGAAAGTTGTCTTTGGAACGGTGGTCGTGGAAGTTGTTGCTGTGATGGTCGTGGGTGGAAGTGTTGAGGTTGTTGGTGGCGGTGGTATAGTGGTTGTTAGTAAGGGGTTTGTTAGTTGGGTGGTTGTAGACATTGGCAGTGTTGTTATTTTTGTTGTAAGAGGCAGCGTCGCAGTAAATGAAAACGTACTCGATGATGATGATGATGATGATGATGATGGTGGTTGTAATGTTGATGTTGTAGTCAAAGGAGGTGCGTTTGTTGTTAGGGGTGTGGTTGTCGTCGATGTAGGTGATGATGATGTTGTTAAAGGCAATGTTTTTGCAGATATGGTTGGTGGAAGTGTTGTTGAAGGCAATGTTGTTTGTGTTGTTGTGGTTGATGGGAGTGTTGTTGAAGGCAGTGTTGTTTGTGCTGTTGTGGTTGATGGAAGTGTTGTCGAAGGCAATGTTGTTTGTGATGTTGTGGTTGGCGGAAGTGTTGTCGAAGGCAATGTTGTTTGTGTTGTTGTGGTTAGCGGAAGTGTTGTCGAAGGCAATGTTGTTTGTGGTGTGGTTGGCGGAAGTGTTGTCGAAGGCAATGTTTGTGATGTAGTTGATGGAAGGGTTGTTGTTGAAGCCAGCGTTGTTTCTGATGTTGTGGTTGATGGAAGTGTTGTTGAAGGTAATGTTGTGGTCGTTGGAAATGTTGTTGTTAAAGGTAGTGACGACATTGTTACTGATGTGGGTATTGTTGTTATTGATGGAGTGAAGAATGTTGCACTTGTGGATAGTAAAGTTGTAGCTTTTGTTGTTGTTCCTTTTGCCAATGTTTTTGTCGCCTGCTTTGTAGAGAGACCATAAATAATTCTGTTCACAGTTTCCTTTTCACCTAATTCTGTAGTACTCACTGGCCAGTCTGTTTGCAGTTTCGAAGTCGATTCAGTGCCCACAGTACTAGTAAAATCTCTCTTCATAGTCGAAGTTTCTTCTGTGGAAATACCATTCCGTTTAGTGCCTGTAACAGATGTGGGTGTATTAAATGCAGGTGCATCAGAAGCCTGAAAATAACTGTTAACCAAATGTAACCCTTTAGTAGCAGCGACAGAGGCATTAGTTAAAGCGGTTTGAGAAGCAGGCGTTGGTATTAACATATGCTTGATAGTATCTGGGTTTTCTGCAGTGACTGGGTTAATATTAAGAGCGGGTGTTATGGATTCCCAATGTGCTATATCAGAAGAAATGAGAGTCGCCTCAGGATCTAGCGAAGGCTCTAACAAAGTATTAGCTGTACTGGTGTTAGTGAATGGTTTTGAAGCGGTGCTGGTCGTCGAGGTTCGATGGACATCAATTTCTACACCTTTTGATGGGGAAGTTTTATTGATGGGGATCTTTACCCATCCCGAACCAGCTGATTTAATATTTATAATGACCGTCACCCCGAATGAATCTTTCGTCCTGTTACTGGCAAGTTTTTTCGGCGATGTTAAAGCCTCCATCTTGCTGGGAACGCCGGAAGAACGATTCAACACTTCCTCAGTTAACGCCTGCGTTTTCAGGGAACTGTTAGTAAAAGTTTTTCCTTCTAAGAGGAATAAACGTAAAAGAGTAGTAGTTCTACTAACAGACGCTGCAGTTGTTGTTTCGTGACCTGACAACATATTTCTGGAATTTGCTTTAAGCTTACCGCTTACACTAGTCATAGAATCGTCACTATTAATGTTTAATATTAAGTTTTTGAAATTCGCTGTTTGTTTTGAGATAGAGCTAATGAAACTCTTACTAGTAGCTGTGTTTGGGGGATTTTGTGATTCGTCTGTTAAACTAACAGCAAATGTTTGTTGTTTACTCAATGTCTCAGTTTCTGATTGTCTGTTGTCATTGCTGTTATAGTCATTAGATGTTAAATTGTAAGCTTCATTTGAAGGGTCATCAGCAGTCGATATAATATCACCACTGATTTCTACATTATCAATTATGTTAGTCTGTCTATGATTATTCCTTCTATCCCCAGTAGGTTCCGTAAATGGTAAAACGGTATCCGTATATTTTCTTTCAACATTTGAGAAAGTAGAAAAGATTGCAGTTTTTGAGGGTCTGTCAGAGGTTGTAATCGAAAGAGTAGGAGATAACATTGAATCTGTAACATTCATACTGTTCTTGAGTCTCCTTGTGGGGCTATCGGAACTAGCATTAGTAATTAACTTAAACAATATTTTCGTTGATTTGTTTGACGCTACAGAATCATTAGCGTGTTTATAACTATCAATCGTAGTCATCATTTCTGGCGGCCTAGTAACCGGTGTCGGTAAAATCGACGAAACTGTTGGGCTAACCTCAGCTTCAAGTAAATTGGTTGTTTCGGGGTAGTCTGTGTAATCTAGGCTGTTATAAGATAACTGATCATTGCTCAAATTAATCAATGTGTGATTCAAGTCAAAATCTGCAGAACCATCCGTCATTGATTGATTCTTTACATCGATACGGAAATCTATTAACGTGTTAGTTATATTCGATAATGCTTCTTGAGCAGAACTTGACTTAATATTATTTTCAGTCAAAGAAACCTTTTGGCGAAATATTGCGACGAAAGGACGTCGTATATTTGTAAAGACCTCCCCACTACTTTCTATTATATTTGTATCGTTAATTCCATATGAGGAAGTTGTCTTCAGCCAAAAGTCGTTGAAAGTTCCTTCTTTTTCTTCCTTTCTGTTATTATCTATTGAAGAAGTTTCTTTCCGTGCATCAGCCTTTTCAAGTTGAGTATCTTCTTCAAATACGTGCATAGATTTAGCGTGGTTATTAGCAGGATTTATAGACCGAGAATTCGATGAGATGGAATCCAGCTTGGTTCCCAGTCGCAGTCTCTGACTACTAAGTTCAGTAGTTGGTTTATACCATATAAGCTGAGGAATATCCGTGACGTCTGCAATTATTGCTTTTACGTCACTCTTTCCTAGTGTATTAGCAGGATTTATAGACCGAGAATTCGATGAGATGGAATCCAGCTTGGTTCCCAGTCGCAGTCTCTGACTACTAAGTTCAGTAGTTGGTTTATACCATATAAGCTGAGGAATATCCGTGACGTCTGCAATTATTGCTTTTACGTCACTCTTTCCTAGTGTATTAGCAGGATTCACAGACCGAGAATTCGATGAGATGGAATCGAGCTTGGTTCCTAGTCGCAGTCTCTGACTACTAGGTTCAGTAGTTGGTTTATACCATATAAGCTGAGGAATATCCGTGACGTCTGCAATTATTGCTTTTACGTCACTCTTTCCTAGTGTATTAGCAGGATTTATAGACCGAGAATTCGATGAGATGCAATCGAGCTTGGTTCCCAGTCGCAGTCTCTGACTACTAGGTTCAGTAGTTGGTTTATACCATATAAGCTGAGGAATATCCGTGACGTCTGCAATTATTGATCTTACGTCACTCTTTCCTTGTGTGACAACTGCTGCTCTTTGGGAATCGTTGCTATTATGAACCACTGCTTTTAATAAAGCCACATTAGAACTTTCACTCTGTGTTCTATTTTTTGCATTGAGATTTTTAACAACTCTCTGTTCTCTAGCCACTAATCTGATATCTTCGCTACTTGTAGTGGTAGGAGTTAAGTCCATTTTAGGCCCACCCTTTCTCTTCCTTGCTCTCCCAAAATACCTTAATGAATGGTCAACGCGGATGGCCAACCATCCCGAACGCGATGGCTTGATATTTACCCGACTTTTACTTTTGGTAAATTCTATAAGCGGTTGACTCCTCTTCGGTGTTGTGGTCGTTAGATTACTAATGATCTGATCGATTCTCTCAGTAACAGCTGCGTTTATTGGACTAACAGTTGTGGTCGAAACCAATTGTGTTCGGTTCCTTTCTACGGACACATACTTTAAATCCTCACTCTCATTTGAGGATTTAAGAGCAATTCCGGGATGAAACAGCGAAAGGTCACTATCAGTTTTTACTGGGAGACTATCAAAAAAGACATTGGATCTGTTTTGGAGAATAAGTGCTTGCATACGTGGAAATGTCAGATTGTCATTATCAACGTTAGAAAACTTGTTACTTGTCCACCGTTTTAATGTTTCGTTTGTTTTGAACCCAGAAGTTGGTGGTGTCGCTGTTTGTGTTTGTGGAGTTAATAAGCTACTGTCGTACCATTCCGAGATGCTATCGTTAATATTAACCGCAGACGTAGTAGTAAAGATTGTTAAATTACTGCTTAGGCGTACGTTTAAAAACAGTCTTTCTCGATGACTAATTGATTGATTGTTTTCTTCATTCTTTAATGAGAACACACTAAGAAAGAATCTTTGGGAACGATCTTCCCCAATATCAGATATATTTCGGAAATTATTGGTATTATCATTATTAAGTACTGTAATGTTATGAATATTTGTAACCCGAGTACTATTAGAAATTTTGGACCTGGCGCTTTCAAATAATGTCTCATTATAATGCCCCGTATTATTTGTATAAGAAAAAGAATCATTACTATATCCTGTATCCTGTGAAAATGGCCCTTTACCTCGATGTCCTGAATTTAAAGTTTGATTATGAATTTCTACAGCATCACGAAATCGTTCTATATTGTCCGTTCCCGTAAAGTTACTGTTGTAAACTTTTCTCTCTCGTATAAAGAACCTATCTTTATGACCCCTTCTCTTGGTTGAAGTTATCGATGCTGCACTAGCGTAATGCGTTGCCGTGGAAGTAGTAGTAGTAATAGCACTGATTATCATTTGATAATTAAGTTCTTTATTTCCATGACGTGATGACATGTTATCTAAGTTTATATCTTCATTAACGGCAGTTGTGTTGCTAAAATTACCAGCTACATCCAAGTCTGATAGCAGGTCCACTGTCTCTGTGAAACTATCGATCGTATCATTTTTAGGTTTAATGCGATCAAAACCCATCGACTTATCGTCGTGAAACCCGACGTTTGCAATGCGTTTTTGCGTATTATTAAAATAATCTACGTGCTGTGAATCATTTGAAATATGACTGAACTGTTTTGAGAGCACAGCTCCAGAAGATGTATCATTATAATATCCTGCATCTCTAAAGTTTAACATTCTGCTATTATTTTTCATGCTGAAAACATTAGCAGATTCATTCTTATTAGCAACATTATCAGCGTCAAATGACTCATCTGTTGTTTTGTTATAATGTTCTGAAGTGACCGCAACTGACAAAGAATCACGATGTGTATCAGTGCCTGATTTGTCTGTATAAGAACTATAATGTTTCATATTCGTTATTGTTTCAATAATTCGACTATCATTATAATTCCTCGGGTTTTCAATATATATATAATCAGGTAAAGAAAAACTGCTATTATAAGAACGAGGTAAATTACCGTTATAATGTTCTTCAGTTTTGCTACCTTCTCTAATACCACTATAAAGACTAGATATGTTCACATTGTAATTAGAGGAGGCGTTATGTTTGACGTAGTTATTTGAAGGACTGTTCTTACTTGCATTATAAACAGTCGTAGAATTAATGTTGGACAATATAAATTTGCCATTTAAGTGTGAAACTGTGGTATCATTAACTTCTAAATTAATTGACGTTTCAGAAATATTAACTTCAATATCATAATTTATAGAGTCTGTTCTATCGTTCTGGATTTCTGTCATTTGTCCATTCACGCTAGCCGACTCTTCATCGTCATATTCAATACTAACATCTGTATTATCGTCTATTCTATTCTCGTTTACTTCTCGTTCCAACGTGATGTTTTTGTCTGAAAACGAGATGTTAAATTGAGAATTCTTAGCTTGCTGCTGACTATTTCGAGACAAACTTTTACTATACCACAAACTTTTTAATTCAGCATCTGTGGGATTGTATTGTTCCCAACTTTCAGTGCTCGACATGGTCAAATCTTTTTCACTTTCTTTATGACTCGTCTTAGCACGAAGCCGTTCAGTGTTATTTACAAGAGATTCACTTCTATCGTAATCAGACGTTTCATTGTAAATATCTGCGTTCGCATTAACAATTTCTGTTTTGTTTCGATACACTGCGTTCCTTGTAAATAATGTAAATGTTTCATTTGCTGATTCAGTGAAATTTGTACTCAATATTGCTTTAAGAAGCCTTGGACTTAACATTTTCTCTACATGTTTCGTAATAGCCTTATCGGAATCTCTCGTATAGTTTGTAATATTTCGTTCATTATCGTTTTTTGCAGTTGATAATTTTGTCATAAATGGGCTCTTGCTTGATAAAGGACTAGTGAGATATGTAACCGTAGTCCCAGCTAAAATGAATTTCGACTCCAATTCGTTACCCCCACTGAAAAGAATATTTGAAATTGTGGGCGTTTCAAGCTGATAACTAACTGTACTCTCACCCACCATGTTTAATGAACGATGGTCATCAGACTTGAGAGCATATTTTACAGCTACACTAGAATTTCTAATTTGGATCGAACTGTTGATACTGGACATTGTCCTATCGGAAAAAGTAAGATTATTTGCATGCCTTGATCCGTCTAAGTTAGCGCTTGAACGACCACGAGAAAATTTTGATCCCTTACTCATTGTTGAACTTTTGCTTAGAGCGGGAATATTGGAAATAGAGCTGCTGGTGCTCTCACTGGATGTTTCGTGGAGCATCACACTGTTGGCTGACTGCGCTTCTGCTGTACTCAGAGCACCCATGTAGTTTTCACTGGTAACAGAACGACCAGTTTCGTCTGTCCATGTTGTGACGGGAGCGTCATCAGCCGCCTCGTTTTCAACAGACTTCGGTTCCGGATCTACACCGTTTTCTGGAAATTCAGATGCAGAGAGACTCGTAACAGAGTTTCAAAATGTTTGGAGAGTAGTGATAAATAAATAGTTAAAATGAAATTGTTTGTTGTAATATTTTAATTTTAACTCTTTATTTATTATTTTTTAATATATTTTTACGCAGTGGGGATAATGAAAAATGGGTTCTTTAACATCTTCAGCGCAAAAGAGGACGTTAACAATTTCGCTGTTTTTCCCTGTTAAGGACCCAAACGAGCTTAGTTACATCGCATTCCCCTTCTTGAATTTCGCGCCTGGTCTCCATTTTGTTTCATGCAGAATGCAGTAATACCAGCTTTTAAGCGATGCAACATAGTCTTAGCTAACACATACAAACCAGAGGAGAAAATGGCGCTGGAAATGTTTATTTTATCATGTTTAAACATTATATATGATTAGAAACACCCATTTTTAAACTGATATTGAAATTGAATTTAAAATTATGATCTGAATTAGGCACACAGGCAAAACTAGGCATAATTTAATTTTAAGTATAATCTATGTTTTTTAGCTACATCTAAGTTGCAAGGGTTCCAGTCGAATAATATTATTGTATTGTGTTTATTCAATAAACAAAACAGTGTACAGTATTTACATTAGTCGGACTATTGTCCTCATCTTTGTCGCCATATTTGTCACAACGTTTCGGCCGTTGTACGCTCCGGCCTTCTTCAGGTGGTTGGAATTTCCAGAACTGAACCCTTTAGTTCGCTCTCCCTGGGGTGAGTTCAATTCCTGGTTAAAGCAGTGCCATGTCTGATGGATGTCAGTTATCAGATAACTCCTGCTAACTTTTCATCCATTCTCCACTGGCACCAGTGGAACTCCAGTGAACAGTTTAAAGAGTGAGCGAAATCCTGGTTCAGTTGGAAATTCCAACCACCTGAAGAAGGGCCGAGCGTACAACGGCCGAAACGTTGTGACAAATATGGCGACAAAGATGAGGACAATAGTCCGACTAATGTAAATACTGTACATAATACCTCATCTCAGAAATATAAACAGACACAAAATAGTGTCTTTCGAAAAATAACACAAGATAGAAACTATAGAAATAGAACCAATAATTAACAGAAATATACCTTATTCTTCTATGTGCAATGTCCCTTAAGGATGTTGGCGATCATAGCTCTCCACAATTTCCTGTCATTGGTACCGCTTAATAAATTTTGCCTTTTTTTTTTATTGCTCCTATACCCTGTTATACCATACATTTACTCAAGCTCACTGGGTAGGTTATACGTTGTTTTCCTATGCTTTTCTTGCCTTCGGCCTGTCCCGTGAGTATCAAATTTTCTAAGCCTTCTTTCCTCAATATGTGCCCTAGAAATTTCAACTGTCTCTCTGATGTTAAGTATAAGTGTCCTTTTTGTTTTCATTTTCTCTAAAAACTTCATCATTGCTCACATGTTCGGTATTCTCAGTATCCTTCTGTAGAACCCCATTCTGTTGCTTCAAATTTCTTTTTCACCTGTGAGGAGATTATTCAGCACTCACTAACATATACGAAGACTAATATTACGTAACAATTCAGTGCTCTTTTCTTTGTTTCTGGCGAAATTTTCCTTTTTCTTAATACTTTGCTTAGCTTTTGAAAGGCAACTTTTGCTATGCCAATACGATTAGAATTTCAGTATCGCATCTCCAATTTGTAATTTGCATGTTGGGCTGTTAGTTTTGTTGACAATTACGCTTTAGATTTTATATAGTAGCACAAGTTGTCTAAATTATTTACCTTTTATTTAAAAGAAACTATTTACTTCATATCACTTATTGTTCGACGTAAAAATATGAAAAGTACTTGCTTTAAGTAGGTTTGTTTTCGTTAATGGTTGGATATTTTTCGAACAGACCGCGAAAAGAATGTTCAAGATTCACAGACAAAGACTAGAGAATTGGTCTTTTCGGCGATTCTTCGTTTATAAAAGAAATAATATACACAAAAATAGAAAGCAGCGTAAGACAAGGATGGGTCTTCTCTCCAGATTTATTCAACCTCTACAACGAAGTTATCCTAAGGGAATTGGAGACCGGATCAGGATTTATTATCGGTGGATCTAATCTTAACAATATAAGATACGGAGACAACAATGTGTTGATGGCTGAGACGAAAAAAAAAAGGAAAAAAAAAGAAACTAAAAACAATAGGACATCCTAGACAGGGTAGTAAAAGAAAGTGAGAAAAAAGGACTAAATGCAAGAAGACAAGGGGAAAAGCCCAACATGCAAGCTACGTATTGGAGATGTCAAAATCACTCAAATACAGAATGTTAAATATCTTGGAAGTGTTTAAACAGAGGATTAAAAATGTGACACTGAAATCCGAAGAAGTATTGGACTGACGAAAGCGGCATTCTAAATGCTAAGCAAAGTTCCGAAAAACAGAAAAAATCGTTAGAAACAAAGATTTTTGTATCGATTCGTTTTTTATGGCTTATCAAACTTTTACGGGTTATTTAAATGCAGAAAATATTTTTAGATAGTAAGATTTTTTTTAGATAATAATTTAGTGATACGTCATACTAATTAACCCACAGCTGGGGGAGAAGAGGTGGATTCATACCTATATTTTGCGCGTAATTGAATATAACGAACCCAAATGGTATTGGAATTGGGCTCTCCGAGTAACAATTCCAAGCCATTATCCTTTACATCACCTGCACATCCACCTGATATTCCCAAGCGGTCACTCAGGCTTCGCATTGCTTAATTTCGGTGACCGTGTTTCAACGAGATATGGCAGTAAAACTAACATCTATATCAACCAAGATAAGAACAATAGTTCAAAATAATACAAGAATAGTAACAATTGCTAACAGCATACTGCTACCGCTTGTTTTCGACGACAAAAATCTGTGCAAAAAGTGGATCACAGAGCCTTGATATTTTTTCTCACTTCTCATTGGTCAGTTAATATTAAAATCATGTTCTCAACTCCGTCCGAATAACATCGACCTAGTTCCTGACCTGAACAAAAATACAATTCCCCCAAAATCTGTCTATGACTTCCGAAACTTAATTTAATATAACGAACCCAAATAGTATTGGAATTGGGCTCTCCGATTTTCAATTCCAAGCCATTATTCATTACACCACCCGCAATTCCAAGTTTACAGCACGTGGTATTCCCAAGCGGCCACCCATCTGGGTACTGACTAGGTTCGACGTCGCTCAACTTCAGTGACCGTATAAGAACAAGTGTTTCGACAGGATATAGCCATAAGCCTCTCTAGTGTGAATCAATTTATAATGAATTTATATTATAAATTGGATCCCTTATTAAATTTTATAAAATTTCATTAAAATAAATTATATCCATGACCTGGACTACGTAAATTATAGTGATATGAAAAAGAAAAAAAAAGTTTCTGGTCACGATGCCTATTGTATAATTCCACCGCGGAGCTAGCTGACCACAGGCCTATTGTAGGCACCGGCCTTCTTTAACATTGTGACAGCTACTGTGCTATATCTATCTTGTGTGGTAATGAATGATATACAATTCCCTTACAGATGAAGAGGAAATTCAAAGGAACCCGAGATATGTTTCTATAGACGAATAACATGGACAGAACACATGAGTAACGAGGAAGTTATAATGAAAACGGTAACTAGAAAAACACTCATACTTAAAATCAGAAAGGGACAAGTTAAATTTCTAGGGCACATTATGAGGAAAGTAGGTTTGGAAAATATAATACTCACAGGACATAGGAAAACAGTGAGGGGACAGAGCGTAACCTATTTAACCCTGCGATAGTGACATGGAGTGTTTTGTTACCCTAAAATTTTTTAAGTACTCGTAATTCCTAGTCGACAACTTGTTTCTTTTGCTCCCTTCCACTACTTCCATGACTCAGTGAGGGGGTGTAGTACCAGGGTGTGGCGCTGTTGTAGCTCAGTTGTCGTGGGAAGCTGACGCCAAGGGATTCTTCATTTTCGCGGTGACTAACGCAGGGTTAATGGAGTTGGCAGAGTGGGGACAAAGAGGGATGATAAAGACTTAAACGTCGCTTAGAGCAACAAGAGGTGGGAAGTTGCGCAGAGCCATGAGCACCCACGTCCTGAAGGGAAACGGCACATAAAAAGAAAAAGAATGTGTAATGTTGGCATTAGTTGCACACACACACACACAGAAGCACACACACAAACACACACACACGTAAAAGCCGATTGCCTTTTCCCGCCCGATACACATTCGAAGAAGGCCCAAAGATAGTACGACGTTTTGACCGTTCTAAGAACTATGGTACTGATGAGATAAGGCCGAATAACTCTTGGTATGTTAGATATTGTTCAGAGAGAATGAGGGAGACTTAAAAAAGAGAGGAAAAGAGGATCTTCATTGGTAGTGAAATCGTAATTCCTTCTCGCGAAGCACGTGTCAAATCTCAGGTTATATCTTCTGCAGCATCCCTCCCTTTTTCAGAGGGAGGAAGAGGAGGAGAAGGAGGAGAAGGAGAAGGAGGAGAAGGAGGAGGAGGAGTCAACCCACGCAAATAGGTTGACATTGCACTGGTAGGTGGAGCAGAGTTAATACCACGTATTTATGTTGAATGAAAGCAGCACCAAAACCGGAAGTAAGATGCGACAGGAACAGCCTATTATCGACTTCCGTATTATGTCGTCTAGCTAATTGATAACTTTGCCACAATTAGGATTGTTGGGGAGAGGTTCTGTTACTAACTCTGTTTTTTTTATTGCTTTCTGTGAATAGTTTTATACATTAGAAATATATTAGGCTTATATTTTTAAGTTACTATTAATAAAAATTGTACATATGGGACTAGTTAGGATTTCATAGAGAATTTATGTTAAGGTGACTGTAGCGTCAATGGCAAGTAAAAAGGTATTGTTTTTAACAAAAGGAATATTATCGAATGATTAGGTCAGCGAGTGTGACTAAGTTAAAGATAAGATAAAGATAACTAGCCCTATGCTTCCCCATTTTTGGCCATGTGCTATATTTGTGGGGTGAGCTTGGCAGTACGCTGTCCTGCACTTATCTCTTGGTTGCGTCTCTGTCTTCGGGTAGAATGCAACTCAGTTGCGTCTCTCTCCTCGGATAGAGTGCAGTTCAGTTGCGTCTCTGTCTTCGGGTAGAATGCAACTCAGTTGCGTCTCTCTCCTCGGATAGAGTGCAGTTCAGTTGCGTCTCTGTCTTCGGGTAGAATGCAACTCAGTTGCGTCTCTGTCTTCGGGTAGAATGCAACTCAGTTGCGTCTCTGTTTTCGGGTAGAGTGCAACTCAGTTGCGTCTATGTCTTAAGGTAGAATGCAACTCAGTTGCGTCTCTGTCTTCGGGTAGAATGCAACTCAGTTGCGTCTCTGTCTTCGGGTAGAATGCAACTCAGTTGCGTCTCTGTCTTCGGGTAGAATGCAACTCAGTTGCGTCTCTGTCTTCGGGTAGAATGCAACTCAGTTGCGTCTATGTCTTCGGGTAGAATGCAACTCAGTTGCGTCTCTGTCTTCGGGTAGAATGCAACTCAGTTGCGTCTCTGTTTTCGGGTAGAATGCAACTCAGTTGCGTCTATGTCTTCGGGTAGAATGCAACTCAGTTGCGTCTCTGTCTTCAGAATGCAACTCAGTTGCGTCTCTGTTTTCGGGTAGAATGCAACTCAGTTGCGTCTCTGTCTTCGGGTAGAATGCAACTCAGTTGCGTCTCTGTCTTCGGGTAGAGTGCAACTCAGTTGCGTCTCTGTTTTCGGGTAGAATGCAATATAGTTGCGTCTTCGGATAGAGTGCAGCTCAGTTGCGTCTCTGTCTTCGGGTAGAGTGCAGCTGTGAAAATATTGACAGATGACCGGTCCCGGGGAACAGCTGCCTGAGGCAGTACCCACCCACCATTGCACTAAAGACGGGGGTCGTTAACAATACGGATGTCAGCGCAACCGACGGTTGCGGGGGCTCGGTAATTTGAGTCCTGGCTCGGGTACCCCACATGAAACTGAACTTCAGTCACATATTGTCCCCGTGGGGCCACAAGTAAATATCTGTGATATATTTGTTGTGTTTTTCAGTAATAAATATTGTAGCAGGAACATCGGCCACCGGGCCAGACCAAAAAAACTGCCGAACTTTATTTGACCCAAAATTTACCACAACTTTAGTTTCTCGTCAACCAGAATAAAACTTTTTAGGCTTCCATGCTTTAAAGCTATGGACGTTGGCTTTTGTTGAAGAATTAATGAAAAAAAAAAAATCAAAAAAAAAAAAAATATCCACATCCTACACTCTTAATAGCTTGTAAGTTTTCAAAATTCTTTTTTTTTTTTTTCAAGTAAATTTCATAGCTTCACCATTCGTCGGCACCCGCTCGCACCCGAGCACCGGGATCGTCATCCTCTCTCATTTCCTTTCTCCCCTCTGGTGACGGTGGAGGAGATGGCTGTGAAGGCCCAGCCTAATCCTGAAGATACGTGAACAGGAGTCACAGAGGAGTGTGAATGGTGGGTAGTCGGGCCCTCCTGACAGCACGTCGCAGATCCTCTTCATGTTGACCGTTGGACTAGAAAGTTTCGATCCCCGCTCTCGGATGGGCCTATGCCAGGAAGACCTATGTGCAGCAATGGTTTCCCAGGTCTCAGGGTCTATGTTGGCCCCTGTATCAGGGATGTCTTCAACTGATCCTTGAAGCGTCGTTTTGGACCTCCGCTTAGCCTCTTGAACCTGGCGAGTTCTCGGAACAGGATGATATGTAGTAGTCGAGTGAGACGCATTCTGGACACGTGACAAATTAACTATTAGATTTATACGCTATGTGAGGGCCGAGATGTGAAAGTTTAAAAAGATTTTTAAAAAATAAGACAAGGCAGGAAAATCCGTGTTAATTTCAGGCTGATCAGTTTCACCTCACCCAACTGTAGTTTTCCAAGAGTTCAAAAGGCTGATTATATTTGCAATACATCGGTCTAGCCGAAAGATTGCATCGCTAAGATATCTATCGTCTACAAATTGCGGTTCGATGTTGGCTTGTGTCAGCGATGTTTTCAACTGATCCTCGAAGCGTCTTTTTGGGCCTCAGCGTAGCCTCTTGCCGCTGATGAGTTCTCCAAACAGGATGATACGTGGGAATTGAATGGTACACATTCTAGACACGTGACTAAGTTATCAGCACGGCAAGTGAAATCTACATACTGAGTTCAAATTCTGGGCACTACTTTAATTAATCGGTCTGTCCACCCCCACCCCCCAAAAAAGGGAAATTATAGATAGATAATTTTTGTAGATTAGCATCCTACAGACATTCATTCACCCACAACATTTTTTAGAATAAAAAAATATGTGCCATAATTATTGTATCATAATAAATAAATGAATCTTCGCGCTCTCAGGATACACGCATGTCATAGTCTCGACACACTCACTCAACAACAGACTTAATTTCAACCACATTCATTCCGTCTTTTTGTTTTTACAGAGCCTATGGTTAAGAACATTCCTTGAATTTACACATCCTTTCAGAAATTATCCTTGAGCACTCAAAGCTAAAGATTCCTGGTAGAATAAAACTTTGTCTAATTTTGTTTATTCTTTTGTTTTTCTATTTCCGCTAATCGATTCCTCACGCATAATTTTTATTCAACTCACGACATTTCAACGAACTCTTTTTTTTTTGTCAAAAGGATACCACTCTGCCTGGAAAGTATTTAGCATTAACGTTGAAAAAAAAAACAAATATTCTTAGGTCAATGTCGCCTTAGTCCGCTTCAAAGTAGTTCTTCTGCGACCTCATACTTAATTCATTTTTCAAAATTTTGCAAATCCTCTTTTTTTTCCCGCTCACCACGTGCTATTCTCTTTAGTTTCGTTTGTGAGTGTGGAATTTCCCTTTCAATAACGATTTTAGTCTTTCCCCAATGTAACAGAATCATGACCTTTGTGTGTGTGTGTGGGGGGGGGGTAATTGACGTGGGTGATACAGAAAAACACCCCAACGAGATGTGAATTGATTTTTTTGGTCTTTGGGAACACGATATCCATGCAACGCAGAAATCCACTCAGTGATCTCTCCTTGCCAACTGAGTAATCCCACGGGAGAGTGCCTGTTCATGAATACGTGGTAAGGTTCTCTCTAATTTTTGGACACGTTACATCAAGGCTACGTAAGTGGAGTCGGCGAGCAGAGTTCACATTTCGTCCTAGTCTGTTGTGTTCACAACGCACTAATGCCATTGGAGAGAGGCATAAATCCATTTCTTCCCTGCCATCACTGCTACAGTT